TCCATCAAGAGTGAATTATCGAAAATATGAGCCTAGCAAAACAAAGACATTTCGAGGAAGGCACTATCATTCTCAACGATGTTATTGCTTATCATTCACAATCGTATTCACAGTTATTTCTCTCACATCATGAGTCACTAGTGGTGAACGATTGCATCAAAACACAAACTTAGTATGTGATTCAGTTCGAAATAGTCTGGATTATCCCGTCGCTGATATTCTGGCTGAAATTTGATCATTCCTGCTCTGTTTGGTTTGAGTGGATTCTGTTTTCAGAAGAACAGTTCTGGAAGTTTAGATACGCTCCCTTCCCAGTTTATCCAGAAAGAAAGCAATTTATCTGGGTTAGAAACGGTTCTATTATTAATTAAAATTTGCAAATCATTACGTAAACAAGATTACACTGTTCTACCTCCAAATTAACACAATGTGTTTCCAGTTCTACAAGAATGCTTCCGTTCAAGTCCAAAATTGCACCTTTCCAGTCCAGACGTACGTTTCATCCGCCAGGGTATCAAATCCGATATGCCTGACGCCATAATTAAGTATCAATTTAAACAACATAATACAGTTCAGAATGAAACATAGAAGCTCCAATAAGGGTACAAAAAATAGAAACTACGACAAAATACAAATATTAACAACACAAAATGGGATTACACAGAGTACCAAAATGTAACACAGAAAGAGTCAGTAAGAACATATTACAAATATATACATGGAGGGATTTTCCCAAAACAAAGCCTTCAAAATGGATTCTACATGCTCTGCATATGCTGATTGTTTTAATAATCCGATTAAGAGACCTTGATACAGAATAAATCATGTTTGATTATCACTGGAATCCAGGATGCGCTTTTTGTTCCATTTTTGGAGTCGTCGGCTTGACTTACGCGTATCTCAGGTTTGATGCTGAATCTGAGACTGGAATTCAGTATCATTTGCTTCAAATGCTATCGTGTTAATCACGTAACTATCTCGACTCAGTGAGAGTTCTAAGAGAAATAAAATAGCTTTGGATAGCCTTTTAGAACAGTGTTATTGTTTCGATCGGATATTCAACAAGCAAGTTGCGTGTGTAAGTGGCTGACCTGTAGAA